AAATTAAAAAATGATCGGACGACCACCAGTCTAAAAGTGCTCAATGTTGGAACACATTTACCGGCGGCAGATGGTAAAGGTAAAATGCAATTTAAAAAGAAAAAGCATTTCAGGAAACCATCCTACCAACATCAAAACAAAGCGAGCCATCATTTTTCTCAGTATAAAACCACCAATATTCAGTGCGACTACTGTGGTAGAAGCAACCATATCAAGAAAAACTGCCGATTTTACAAAAGGAATTCTGATGAAAAACAGAGAACTTTGCAAACAGTTCACGGAATCCCATCATCAAATAATACTTCTGATGGCTTCGCTTTTATGATTGGACATAAACAAATTTCAGAGCAACAATCATACAAAACCTTGACCTTCTTGTTAGACTCGGGTGCAACTGATCACATTGTAAATAGCCGGGATCCGTTTGCCAGTATCCAGAGACTAGACACGCCGATTCAACTCGCAGTGGCCAAGAATGAAACCACTGTTACTGCCTTTGAAAAAGGAACCATCAACGTCGAATCCAATCTTGGTGTTCTGGGAAAACTAGAGAATGTTTTATACATTCCCGATGCATTTTACAACATTCTTTCAGTTCGCCGCATTCAAGCGTGTGGTATGACCGTTGTATTTGACCAAGATGGGGATAAAATTCTACACGGTAACAAACTTCTGGCAACAGGTAAGCCATTAAATGGTCTAACTGGAATTTCATTCAAAATAATAAGAAATTGCAGTTCTAAGATTGAGCCACAGATTAATGTGATTAACAATAAACACTACCAACTTTGGCATGAACGTTTAGGTCATGTCAGTAGCCAATCATTTTTAAAATTAAAGCAACATCAAATGGTAGAAGATGTTAACCACATTGACAATCTTAGTCCTGCAAACCATACCTGTGAGGCTTGCATATATGGTAAACAAACAAGATTGCCTTTCTCTAAAGCTAAATCCAAAAATCATGTTCAACGACCTTTGTTTATAATTCATTCGGATGTTTGTGGACCCATATCACCCATTACTATCGATGATAAAAATTATTTTGTCACTTTTATTGACGAATTTACTCACTACACAGTTACTTACCTGATAAAATATAAATCAGAGGTTCTTTCCGTCTTTAAAGATGTTATTGCTAAAGGCGAAGCTCATTTTAACTGTAAGGTAGTGTACCTGTATTCCGATAATGGGGGTGAATATTTGTCCAATGAATTTAAAGAATTTTGTGTTCAAAAGGGCATTACTTTTCATTTAACAGTTCCACACACCCCACAACAAAATGGTGTTGCAGAACGCATGAACCGTACACTTACTGAAAAAGCACGTACGATGATAATTACCTCTGGCTTAGATAAATCTTTTTGGGGTGAAGCTGTACTTACAGCCACTTATTTAATTGATATCTTGCCAACTTCTGCTCTGCAAATAAATAAGACGCCATACGAAATGTGGCATAATAAAAAGCCACAATTAGAATTGCTAAAAGTATTTGGATCTACCGTTTACATACATAATAAAACGAGAAAAACTAAATTTAATGACAAATCTTTTAAAGGCATTTTTGTGGGGTATAATCCTAATGGGTACAAAGTGTGGAATGTTAATACGAAAAATTTTCTGACGGCTCGCGATGTAATCATTGACGAGACCAATTTTAAAATTACAAGGCCAACAATAGTTGAGAATACCTTATTGCCCAATACGAACCATAAAAATTCTGAATGTTCAGATGTTCATTTTGAACAAGGCGAATCGTCTAAAAGCGTCTCACATTTTCCCGAAAATAACGTAAATTTAAGGAGGAGTGAAAGAGTTAAAAATCATCCTACTCCCACTTATAAAGAAGATCTCGATGATAATATTAACAATGACATATACAGTCATTTGCTCTATGCAAAGTCCCTTTCCAATGCAATACCAAATTCATTTGATGAAATAAAGGCAAGGGATGACCGAGATCAGTGGGAGCTAGCTATAAAGGATGAAATTGACTCCCTCCTTTTAAATAAAACATGGTCAATAGTCGATAAACCCACAAATAAAAACATAGTAGGTTGCAAGTGGGTATTTACTACAAAAATCGATGAACATGGTAATCCAGTAAGATATAAGGCAAGACTGGTAGCAAAGGGATTTTAGTCAACAATATTTAAGTGATTATAATGAAACCTTTGCGCCAGTTGCACGAATATCTATCTACCTTTAGATTTCTATTGGCATTTTCAAATCAGTATGATTTATTAGCCCATCAAATGGACGTAAAAACTGCATTTTTAAATGGCGTCCTAAAGGAAGAAATATTTATGCAACTTCCAGAGGGTATTAAAGCCGATGCCAATAAAGTATGCAAATTAAACAAGCTCTTTATGGCTTAAAGCAATCCTCCAGGTGTTGGTATGAAAAATTTGATAAAACAATGAAAGAGCTCGGTTTTAGAAGTTCTTCAGTTGATCCTTGTTTGTACTTTCTTAACAAAGGTAATATTAATAAAAATTTATATGTTATACTTTATGTCGATGATTTAATAATCTCAACAAAAGATATGACTACAATGTCAAAATTTAAATCATATTTAATGAGTAATTTCCATATGAAAGATTTAAATGAAGTAAGGCTTTTCTTGGGAATAAGAGTACAGAGAAACAGAGATACAATTACTCTGGATCAGACGAATTATTTGAAATCTGTATTAAATAAATTTAATATGGCTGAATGTAAACCAGTTTCAACCCCACTAGAAAATAAATTAAATTATGTTGAATTAAATATTGATCAGCCTAATTCGAACCTACCATGTAGAAATCTAATAGGATGCTTAATGTATGCTATGCTGTGTACACGACCCGACTTATGTATAACTATAAGTATATTAAGTCGCTTTCAAAGTAAATGTAATGAAGAGCTTTGGAAATGTTTAAAGAGAGTACTTCGATACATACAAGGATCAATTGATTTGAAATTAACTTTCAAACGTAAAAACATTGACAATATGCTTGAAGGCTATGTGGATTCTGATTGGGCTAATAATGAGATTGACAGACGAAGTACGACCGGGTATTTATTTAGGGTCTTCGAAAATTGCACGATTTCTTGGAATTCGAAAAGGCAAACTTCTGTTGCCGCTTCATCAACTGAAGCCGAATATATGGCTCTTTTTGAATGTGTGAGAGAGGCAATTTGGCTCAGAAGTTTATTAGATAGCCTTAATTTAAACATTTCAAAACCCATTTCAATTTTTGAAGATAATAACGGTTGTATAAGCATCGCCAACAATCCTACGAACCACAAAAGAACCAAGCATATTGACATTAAGTATCATTTTACACGGGAACAGATCATACAAAATAAGATATCAGTTCAATATATTCCTACAGGTGAACAACTGGCTGACGCATTTACAAAACCATTACCAGCAGTTAAATTTGTCAATGTAAGGAATAGTATTGGACTAGAATGAAGTTGATTAAAATCGTACATATATTTTTTTTTGATAATTTAGTAAGTTTTTTTTTGATTGTTATAATTAGATTAAAACCATATTTTGCTAATATATTAAAAAAATGCATATTGTATACTTAATTTGTAATTAATATATATTCGCAATTTTTGTATCATAATAAAATGGTTCAATTAACTTAAATGTACATATGATAGCTTTTAGGATTATCTATTATTATTATTATTTTTCGATCTTGTTTTTGAGTGGGAGTGTTGAAATATGTATCCGAAAGGATAATATAATATACAAAAACAAATCTACCTTACCAGGAATCGACCTGAGAATTGACAAAGAGCAATAAACCCAAAAGGTTGGTATTTATTGCCTTATTTATTTATTGTACTTGGGTATTACTTTTTGCGTTGTAAATGTATTTTTCCCACACCCCGAAAAGGTTTAGGGTGTGAAGATGAAATATAAAAGCTAAAGTTAAGTTAGTCGTTCTGTTATGTTTTAAAACGAAACATTGAAATATATTATCGTGCCTTAAAACGTATCTATCGTGTTTTAATTAAACCACTGATAACCTGAAATATTTAATATTGAAAATATCTTATCGCCAATGAAGATATTGATAAACGAAAACCTACAATTGATAAAAAATTTGATGCCCTTCTAAACGATATGCCGGTTTACTTAAATATTATTGGAAATATGAGCAAACTAAGATTTTGAAATTATTTTCCAATTCGATCCTTCTTTATCTTATCTATTATTTATTATTGATAAAGTTAGAGAATTAAAAAAAAAATCGATTTTGTGAATTTTGGATTTTTGTTCCAAAATCTTAAAGACAAACAAACAATTAACTTTTTTTTATCCATGAATATTAGCAATTTTCCAAATTTTCCTTCAAATTCCACGTTTTTCATTACATTAGCCTTCTTGTATGTATTTTTGAGGGCGGCTTCATTTATTAGAGGTACCTATGTCCAAACTTTTCAGGTTGATGAATTATCTGATTTGCCAAATATTTATTTTTTTGTATTGCTGTATTGCTGTCCAAAAAAACCTATAAAGAGTTGAAACACTCGTTTATAATGAACAATTTTTCTATTTCATTTATTTCAGTTAAACTTTCAATATTTTGTATTTTTGCATGTTTTTTTGTTAGGAATGGAAATGCATGCCTTTTTTTAAGCATGCAATGTAATTATAGTCAACATAACACGTCATATCTATTGATTTTTAGAAATATTTTCAAATGGGTTAACTTAATCAGTTCTTAACACTTTGATAATTCGAAACTCTGATCAATTTAACGTTAAACAAGAGCAAAAATACCCGCCCTTATTATTAAACTTTTATTTGAAAATATCATCAATTACATAAGGATTTCCTACATTATTAAATTAGGGATTCTTTAACTCAATCACACCACACCATCACTTTATTTATTCGCTTTATGTGTGTTCCAACAAGAAAAATCACGAATTTTTGATTCTTGTTTGGAACAAACTTTAGACTTAACCAATCCTAATTTTTAATTTTCCTTTAGAACAACGAATACATCCAATCAGTAGGCAGATGCCTTCAAATGATGCTAAGAATCGACGAATACCGCTTTGCTTTCGTCTCTGTCGACGGCATTTCCACTTTGCTGAGTGTTTTGGCTGGACGTGTTAATTTCCAAGTAAGTAAAAACTTGATTGTCAAAAATCTAGATACAATTTTATGGATTTTTCAGGTCCAATATCAATTAATCTTTTGTATTTGGGTGTTGACGTTTAACCCGTTGTTGGCCGAAAAAATGAACAAGTTCAACGTGATTCCGATTTTGGCCGACATTCTTAGCGATTCTGTTAAAGAAAAAGTGACTAGGATTATTTTGGCTGTTTTTAGAAATTTGATTGAGAAGCCTGATGATGCGCAAGTGGCCAAGGAACATTGCATTTCGATGGTTCAGAGTAAGGTAAGAATTGCTTTCTGTATAAACACCTTTAATGAAATATTATTTTTTGATTGTAAATTTTGAAAACAGTTTTTTCAAATTTCATTTTATTTTTCTGCAGGTTTTGAAACAGCTACAAATCTTGGAGCAGCGCAAATTCGACGACGAAGACATTAGCGCAGACATCGAGTTTTTGTCTGAAAGATTGCACTCTTCCGTTCAGGATTTGAGTTCGTTTGACGAATACGCTACTGAAGTAAGTATTTTCTTTTATCCTATCAAAATATCATAATTCTTTGTTTAATTTTAGGTGAAATCGGGCCGTCTGGAATGGTCTCCGGTCCACAAAAGCAAATTTTGGCGTGAAAACGCTCAGAGACTCAATGAAAAGAATTACGAGTTGTTGCGCATCCTGATTCATCTTTTGGAAACCAGCAAAGATCCCCTGGTGTTGGCTGTGGCCAGTTTCGATATTGGAGAGTATGTCAGGCACTATCCACGAGGAAAACAGTAAGTTGAATTCTACCTAATTTAGGAAAAACTCTATAAACTACTTTTGACAATAATCTATCAATCTCATTACTGTCAAAGTCAACATATTTTTTATCTGGTAATTCAAAAGTCATATTATTTTTTCAACTAAAACTCCATAGCTATTACAAAAGAAAAAAATGTTTCTCGCCAAAATTCACGCCTTCTTTTTGATATTATGTATAATCTTACGGCAACCCGCTTACAATACCATAACCACAGTCGAAGGGGAACATTTTCTAATATCGATCCACGAAAGATGGTATAACAGCTTTGCCGTTTTATCAGAAGTGTCTGGCTGTATTACGGGAAGTGAGCAAAAGTCGAATTCTATCATACAACATTTGGGCATTGTGAGCAGCGGAAGTGAAGATTGTTCGAGCCGGTCCGTTAAGGTGATACTGTATGTGGGAAGTTTCATTGCTTGCTGTTTCGTGTCGAGGTTTGTGAAAAATCGAATGAAGAAAGAAGAGGGAAGCGATTTAGACAAAATTCCAGTTAATTGATTGATTGTCTGTGTATAAAGATTTCAATAAAACGTCTTTGGTATGGGTTTTCCCTTTGTGATTTTAGTTTTGTACTACAAATATATTTTTATTTGTTTATAAGTGATGATACGTCTGAATGTGTTTGTGAGCTATCTAAAATAAAATAGTATTTTTGTGATGTGTTAATACTATCCGATGAAGAAATTTTGAATGCTATCAAGAAAATGAAAGCTAATAGGGCTATTGGTCCAGATGTTCTCGAGGGGTCTAGTGAGTCTTTAGTTAAACCATTGAAATTTGTTTTCACTTTAAGCCTGAAATCTTTCATTTATCCTGATCAATGGAAATCAAGTAAGGTAATTCTTATTTATAAAAGTAGACCCGAAAAAAGATCAAGAACTATTGTCCGATTAGCATTGTGTGTGCAGTGTCTAAAATTTCCAAGAGAACTTACTATTTAAGTTGATTTATAATGAAATCTCTTCTAAAATCACACAATTTCAGCATGGATTTCTACCAAAAAGATCTATTTTTACTAACTAAGCTGCATTTCCCCAGTTTGTTCACGAGTCGCTGAAGGAAAAAACTTAGTTTATACAGATATGGAAAAGGCATTTGATAAGGTTAGGCACTGTATAATTGTGAAAGCATTGATGGATTAGATGTTCCCCCTTATTTAATATTATTAAATCCTACCTCTTTATAAGCAACCAGTATGTGAAAATAAAAAGATGTAAGTTTGTAGTTTATGGTAGTACCTCAGGCATTCCTCAAGGTTCCAATCTAGGACCTCTAATTTTCTTCATAGGAATAAATGATATTGTTGATGTGGTGGAAGAGTCCAAAACGTTACTGTTTGCTGATGACTTTAAATTGTATGCAAGCGTTATATCTCAAGATAACTGTGATAGTATTCAGCGTGACTTGGATTGTTGTCTGGTGTGATAGAAATGTATTTAATATGAATGTTGATAAGTGTTCCTGTATATCCTTCTCAGAAAATCTTAATGTTTTTGATAATCCATATAGTATTAAGGATGTTTTGTTAAATATGGTAAGCTCTCAACGTAACTTGGGTATAATTTTTGATGCAAATATATCATTTAATGACCATATTGTAACTACGATACAGGATGTACAGATAATAATGGGATTTGTTTGTGATGAGAAATACCAAAAATTTCAGCATTGACGTAAGCGTTATAAGCTTTTTGACACTTAAGTGCTCCTTAAACTAGAGTATAATAGTATTATATGGTCACCACAGTATAATGTATGGAAATCATTTATTGAGGGAATACAGAGGAAATTTCTAAAGTATATATTTTTTAAGAAGTTTGGTTTCTATCCTCTACAGGGCTCTGATAATAGAATTTTATTACGTATATTCAATAGGATGCCTTTGGAATGTCGTAGAACAAGAGCATGTTTGTGTATTTTGTTTAGTTTGATAAAGGGAAATATTGACAGTCCTCATATTCTTGGTGAATTACCGTTTGTAGTGAATAGAGTGAACATTATTAGAGACAAGAAAGGGTTTTATCTGAATTTCCCTAGAACAATTTTTTTTAAGTAATCAGCTATACAGGGTGTCCGTTTTAAGTGATACCACTATTGCTATCTCGGAAACGGTAAGAGATACGAGGTCAGTTAAATTAGAAAAAACTTGCCTTTTTTGATGCCCATTCAAGACTCGTTTAAAGTGTTACCGAATTCCTTTTAGTTTAGGAAATACAGGGTGATTTCTAAGAAACGCCTAAAACTATTTCATCAATTATTTTGAAAACTATTGATTTTCGAAACACATTTTAAATTTGAAAGTTTTCTAATTTTTATCGCTCTACAACATGGCATCTTCAAATTTCAAATCCGACGTTTCGTGATCGAGCTACCATCATCAACTTCATTTTTTTAAATACGGACCTGGATTTTTTATGTCATTTTTAAGAAGCTCCCTTTATTCCCTTTTTAACGATATACCTCTTAAGTATGATTGGCCGACGTTTCTGCTTTTAAAGATGATCATCAGTCACTTTTACTAAAATTTTACTTTAATTCGGCCCTGCAATTCGTTATTTGTAACAAAGGCGGTCCAACAAGTACTCTTTTCTCTTTATTTAGAACACTTAGAATTATCTAATTATGAACAATATCAAGAATAATGACTTAGAAACTAATTATTGTTGTAAATATGTATTCCAATTGAAGTCGATTATTCCTTAAGCATCATCTGAAATTTTTCACAATTTTTTTTTGAATATTATTTAATATGTATCATTTTTTATGCAACCGTCCGCGAAATTCAATTTCGCGGCCACGTGGTGTGTATAGCATGACCGCGAAATTTTGCAGCATTCTCGAGACTATCTTGTCTCGGCCGCAAGCAAACAAGGCATTTCGCGGCCTTGGTATACAAATACAGACCGTTTTACCATGGTTCATACTTGACCTTGAAACTTGAAAAAAAAGGGTTATCGTAGATTAATTAATCATATTATGACATTCAATTTTTTTGACAAATTATGGATGACTAATGGTTTAAGAACCGACGAACGTTTTTGACGTCATTGATTTCTTTCAGGCAATTTCTATTTATTAAAAGAAAAAAAAGGCAAATTATGTCAAAAGTATGAACCCTGGTGAAACAAAGTTTTCATAACTATTATATTCTAGCACATGCAGTCCTTCCTTTCTTTAAATTTTTCTAATGTCTCTGGTATTTTTGTAAACTTCATAATGAAAATCACTGTACTCTTATTCATTTAACAATGGGCTCTTTCACTAATTTTTGAAATTGGCATATTTGGATAAAGCAACTAAAAACAGAATTTTCTGTATTTTTACTTTTGAAAAATTCATAGTCCTTCTTGAGAAAACAGAAAAAAAAGAAATACCTCCAAATAAAAACCCAGAATTTATTTCTATGACGTCGCAGCTCGCTATTTGACCGTGTTGCCACTAATTGTCAACATTGAAAATTTGTAATAGATTTAATTCTGAAATGTTCCCAAAATATCATGAAAAGTAGTTAAATTAATTAGTTATGGATTCAAGATTTTATAACATTTTTATTGAAATTATGCTTAAACACAATTTAATATAATTTTCTATGTTTAGTTTTATTTATTTATTTTACGTTGCACTACATTTAGTCACCACCGACAACAGCGCATTCGAACCTTTACCTGCATTTACTACAGGATAAATACAGCAGAGGCGGACAGCTCTTTCCAACAACAAGCGAAATGAAAAATATTTATGCGACGTCAGCAAATCGGCGCGTTTTTAAATAATTCAAATTTTGGTAGTTTAAAATGCCTGTAAAAAACTTATTTAACCTTGTAGAACATTTTTTTTTGGTATATGTGCCTAAAATAGTCCCTCCTTTGGGATTTTATACCTAAATTACGTATTTAAATTTTAGTGAAAGAGCCCATTATTATAAAATGAATAAATAATAAAGAAATGTTTGACATGTTGCACAGCTGTCAATCTAATTTTTTTCAAGGCATTCTTTGATGATATTTATTTATATTCCATATCACTGATGCCAACCTGAATTTGTGAAATTACAATAATATGTATGTATTACGTAATTAATTTTTAAGTAATTATTTTAATTATTGTTCACAATTAGATAATTTTAAGTGTTCATTCAAAATTATTTTGTTAATTTCGTTCTAAATAATAAAGGAAAATAGTACTTATTAGACCGTCTTTCTTATAAATGACGAATTCCAGGGCCTAATCTGTAGAATGTTTAGACAACTTGCCTAACTTCCGTAGGTAAGCCAGTAGTAAAAAGAACTTGTTTTAATACTGATTAATTAATTTATTGAGCGATAACAGCTTACAACATTCGACTCGACTTGACAACTAAAACTAAAGCATTGACAATTTTACAGCGACAGCTGACTACGACAAACATAACTTAAGACGAATACACACTCTGCGTCATGTGAATGCTGGTAGAATTGTTAGTGTCTATTTACACACCCTCTCAATTCCTCAATATTCAATGAGAAACTTAACTTCTTAACAAAATACAAGTTATAAAAAAAAAATTACAATACTCTTGAAAATATTATTACAGTTTTGATTAATTCGAGGTTACATTTAATTTACTACGTAAATAATCAAATTTCTGAGGAGTTACAGCCTTTGTAAATATATCAGCTGTTTGCTCATTGGTGGAAATATAATTAAGTTTTATTTGATTTTTCGCCAAACAATCTCTCAAAAAATGATGTCGAACATCAATATGTTTAGTGCGCTTTGTTTCCAAAGTACTGACCATCTTGATGCACGATTGATTATCCTCAAAAATTTCTATCGGGTACACAATACATTTAAGAATTTCATTTAACAGAGTAGCAATAAATAAACATTCTGTGACACAAGCAGAGAGAGCAACATATTCTGCTTCGGCACTTAATAAGGATACAATAGTTTGTTTCTTTGATCTCCAAAACACAACATTATTTAGAAAAT